CATTCCCGGAAGCGGCGCTGACTGAGGGCCCTGAGCTCCGCCCCCCCACTGCACCCTCCCGGCCTGCTGCGGGGGGGGGGCCGGAATTCGCCCCGAGGAAGAGCGGGCCGGGGCCCCGCTGGTAGGCGCTTTGACGGCGGAGCAGGGCCCGACGCTTCGCGAGCGGGAGGATGGGCGCTTCCCGCGGCGCTCCCGCGGGGGCTGGGCTGCGCCCCATGCGGGCTCCATCCGTGCCAGTCTCCAAGCGGGCCCCTTGACTCCCTCTCGCTTCGCGTCGTGCAGCAGCACCGCCGCCGCGCCCGGATGACTCGGGCAAAGGGGCAGAAGGCAGGATGATCAGATGTGTGGATGAGAGCTAATGACCTTGGCATCGAGGTCCCGAAGGACCTTGACAGGCTAGGGCACTGTGGGCGAACCTTTTAGACTTGGCATGTCAAAAATTTGGGAAACGCCTAACTTGACTCCGCTGACGCGTCTCACACACACACACACACAAAACAAAAGAGGAGCAATTCTTTACATATTCATTTATTTAAAAAATACAGCCCAATCATGTGTGGTGCTATATATTATATAAAGAAATGTCAAAAAATTACAAAATGAAATATGAGTAAAACAAACTCAGTTTCTTTGGTAACTCAAACAGGAAGAGTAGTTGCTGTTGGGTGTTGGTGAATGCGCGTCACCCAAAACGCCTTTGATGCACGTGCTGTAGGCTCACCATCACTGGGCTAGGGCAAGGGGCAGGAACCAACGAAACGAATTTCAGAAGGGATAATTGCAAAATCTCTTGAATGTAGGAAAGGGAACCGTGCCAGCCCTGCAGTCAGTGGTTTGCTGGTAAATTTTTAACAGTTATCTCTCTGGAAGGAAAAAATGCAACCAGGTCTCACTAACACCCCATGGCTGCCCCTAGGTGCCCAACAGCCGATCAGTGCGCCAGCCTTCCTGGATCAGTTCTGCCCTCGGCCCACTTGCAGAATTCCAGCCGATGGAATGGAATCGTTGGCTGGCTCTCGCAAGCGGGTGCCAGCAGACTCCGGTGCTCCGCCCCCTGCAGCGGTTGTGAAAAGGATCCGGAGGTCCTGGTGGATTGCAAGTCGAACAAAAGCCAACAGGGTGATGCGACTGTACAGGGAAAACAAGGCTTGTGCTGTGTCCACAGAAATCAAGAGAAAACATGGTTCTCTGTGTAAGGTTTGCCCCGTTCGACAGAGAAACTCTCGTGACACGTGTGGTTCACAAATGTTTACTCATGCGTAACGTAGTAGTCACAAGCAGAGCCAGGAATGCCTTGTTACAATTGCATCACTTGTTATATTCCCCCCTTCCCGCGCTTTTTTCCCGCCCCGCGATCACGCTGCTGCGGATTATCGGCCCCCCAATAATCCCCCTTGATTGTCCATGATGGCAG